TATATATATATATTGGGGAGATAGAAGGGAGGAGATCACTATTCATTCATCTTCTCCCTATAAAAATAATATAAAACATTCTTGATTTTTCCATCTTCAATGTTCATACAAGAATTCAACACCGATTATTCAAAGAAATAGGAGTGTATTTTTACGTTGATACACTTTCGCATATCAACACATATGTTTTTGTTTTGCTTTCACTTGACTAGGTGCCCATCCATGAAGGTGACAAGGAGAAGGGCAATGATGATGGAGGATTAGCAAAAAAAATCTTGAGGATGGACATGAAGTTATAATTGCTCATGAAATGGATAAATACTCTTTGATCCTATAGAGAAACCTAAGGGTTATTGAGATATTCCTAATTGGTGGAAGTTAAATTGATTCAAGTATCCTAACTTACAAGCTCTTGCCAAGGATGTTTTGGCAATCCAAGTCAGTACTGTGGTACCTGTGGCTTCTTTTAGCACTGGAAAGAGGGTAATTGATACCCATTGGAGTTCATTAACTCCTAGGTCAGTTGAAGCATTGATTTGCCTACAACAATGGTTGAAGTCAGATTCAATTAGCAGTCTTGCATACACCCCCAATCTTGAGGAAATAGAATGGTTGGAGAACACAGAGCAATGTGAAGTTTAATATATGAAATGATTATGATCATGATTCAACAATCCTAACTTATTCATACTATATTCTTAATTTTTTTTTTATTTTTTTTTCTTCTGTTTTCCACTTCACATAGAGTTGGACCAAGAAGAAAGGGATCTGACGGATAAACTAGAAGAAAAAAAAGATAAGGAAAGCAAAACTTCAAAGGCTAACAAAGGAGTAGATGTTGGAAAATCATCTAAGAAATAGTGTGGTGTGAGTGTCACTGGTGTTTGAAGTTTGAACTTTGATGTTTGAACAATTTATTTCCGTGCTTCAGTGCTTTGCTTTATGTTGTTGAAATTTGGATAATTTGGATTTGGTAATGTTTTTAGTTTTGTTATTTGTGTGGTCGTGGTTGTTGTGGGAACTTGAAGTCTTGAAAACTTCTATAATTATCTATTATGCTTTCAGCTTTTGTGTTTGTTGTGGATAATTAATTGATTTGTGGTTTGTAATGTAATGTGTTGAGTGGAGTGTGTATGGGTAATTGACTTGTTAGTTATCTTGTTTATTGTTTAGTTAATTAGTTGTTTTTAAGCTCGACTCACTTGCAAAAGTCAGTTTTTTATTACATGTCGGTTATCCACAAAAATCGAAAAAACCGAACCAAAACCGATTTTTCAGTTCTAAACCGGGAAACAAAAAATGTAACATAACAGAACCCATATGACAACTAAAAAACATGAAACGGTTCTTAAGAAAAAAGACAATAATCGGACCGAGCCTACCCCTAAAATACACAAGGTTGACTAGTCCCTTTTCTAATATCTGTTCGAGATCCGACTTGTCTTGGTTGATAAGGCGGGTAGTGAGCAAGTCGCGGAAGCCCTCGTTGGAGTTCACGAGGTAAGCAAGATTGGTCGCGAAGTTGTTATGATTTCTTAGGGCTCGTTGTACATTGGTACCATGGTCGGAGGTAGCTTGGGGCCCTTGCAATACCCCAACACTCCTTCATTCTTAGGTTGGGAGTGCACGTACAAAGGACCGGTTAGAGTTCCTTGATGTAGACCCGACTTGCTCTCTTTTTGGTGGTCTTATTGAATTATCGGGTCAACTATTTTTTGAGTGCCCCTTTAGCTCAAAAATTTGGGGGGTGATTCGAGAGTGGGTTAGCCTCCCTTATAGATGGGCTCTTAAATGGACTAAGAAGGAGTCTCGAGGGGCTAGTTGGCAAATCAAGTTGAAGAAAGTGGCGCTTGCAGCAACTGTATACTTCATTTGGAATGCGATAAATTAGTTGATTTTTTAAGGTGAATCTCAACCTCCGAGTCTAGCCATCCGTAAGAACCAAACCCATGTTTATCGTACAGTCTTTGAGTTGTATCCTAATGTCCTTGTCGAATATGAGAGAAAGCCCTTGGAGTATGCTAGGTATTCCCTTGGCAAGGGAATTTTGAAAGCTCGCGGATGCGGGCCACCTCACATGCTGGGAAGACGGGCGTCGAGTTGAACGTCGCTCCGCGACGCGCTTGGGGTTTTTGCATTTTTGTTTTGCTTGGGACTTGAGCAAGCAACAAACCTGTGGTTGCTCTCTTAAACTTATGACCTGCGAATGAGGAGCCGTGCATGTGGGTGCCCACTACGCTTATGTAGACCATCTACCGATGGTTCGGACATTAGTTTTGATCTATAAATTATCAAAAAAACAACGGCTCACAAAAACTGGGTACAAATGTATAGGACCAAGCGAGGATCTCTGAGCATGCTTGGATACAAAACTTATCAAAAAATCTAAACATTTTTAATTCAACCACTTTTTTTAACTCAACCCCACTATCATCAATATAATTAAATAATATCATCAATCATTCTTACACACTACATCACCTTAATTCACTATTCATCCCTCACATAATTTTAACTAACCATCACTCCAAATCTTCTCACATACTTTACATCAAATCAACTTTAATTATATTATTTTAAATATTATTTTAATACACCAACTAACAGCTAACCATACCAACTTTTTCAAAACTAACCAAACCAACCAAAAAAATCCAAACATCTAAAATGAGCTCAACTCAAGCCTACAATAATACCCACAAAAAAAAAATAAAAAAAATAATAGAACTTATTCCCTTGATTCATTTTCACTCATTTTAATCACAGGGGCTATCATGAACACGGCAATATTATGGCTAAAATTTACTCAACCAATTATAAAGAATCGAAATCAAATGCATCCCCCTTCATTGACATTCTCACTAATGTTTGCTCATACAAATACACAACCATACACAAACAAGTGTGTTAGATACAAATGCCGCAGCTTTTTGATATATAATCTGTATCACATAAACGGTAAACCAAACAAGTAAAAACCTGACTACAGGGGGGTTTAACTTTAAACCAGAATAAAAAGGCCCTCGCCCGAAAATGAGGAAATCTCACCAAAAGCACAATTAGTTTGTGCAAAAAGAATATCAAAACTCCAAAACCCCCCACAATATTCCAAACCTAATTGCTAAGTCCCATCAAATACAATCTTTTTCCAACCTTAACACCACCCGCCAGCCCTTGCTTTGTATTCATTCACATCGGCAGCTGTGCTCTGTACGAACATTCGGCACATACATATATATTGTCGATTAATCTTTTAGATAATTTCAAAAAATACCACTCAAAGCAAACCGGCCAGAATAGCCCCAGGATCCGTTGCGGCTGAAGGTGGACTGGTTGGTCGGGCTTGAGGAGGTGTGGGTGCTCGAGAAGGAACTGGGATGCTCACTAATTGTTCTTTAATGAACTCTTTTAATCTGTAACATGGTCATATTCATAAGAAGCTCGAGATCAGATGTCAACACAACTACACAAGTGCAAGACTGAAAAAAACAGTGAAGCTGAGTAAAACATGTTTTACGTACTCCAAAGTTAGAGTGGGATCTCCTGATGCAATGGTCATCCGCAATTGTGTTCTATCGGCTGGATCAGTTTCTATCCTCACCTGAATAATGCAAAGTAATATTCAATTTATATTATAATAAAACAGTTGGATCTATTAAAAAAAATACATCACAAAAGGCTAGCCTTCAGGTTACATTTTATTAAAAAGATTCAGATATTTATCAAGATTTCGACATAAGAAAACCTTAGAGGTTCAAGTCTTGCTGCAAAATGAAGTCAACCACTTTTAGAAATTTAAAATATCTCCATTTTGCATATCACAGTGAATGAGGGGACATTGTAAACAAGGTTATCCTGATAATTAGTAAAGAAAGCTGCATCTTTCGTACTTTTCATAAACCTCAGGAGTATGTTTTTGGTAATTCGGGCTTCTCCGAAACTCTATCGTGTGGGAATAATTTTAATCGCAGTTAACTAGAACATCTCAAACAATGAAAAATGGGGGAACAACAAGCATCATACCAAGCATAGCATGGCTCGTGTGCCTTCAGAGTAGAAAGTTGTGCTGGCCACCAGATTATTGGCGTTTGGATCCTAAAAGGGAAATAGAAAAAGTAAAACAAAAGCCCTATCAGAGGCAACAACGGTACCCCACACGTGGGTTCATTTGAAACCTCTCAGTATTAAGCACACTTACAAGCCCAGGACAAACTGTCAGGTGCAAGCTGTTAAATAAGTTTGCCATTTCGGGAAGCAGCATTGGTCGTACACCTCTAACCTAGTAATGTAATAGAGGGTAGGGTCAGATAGTTATCCCTCTGGAGTAAAACAATAGTCAACATTAATATAAAAAAAAAAAGTCCAAAGATACAATTCAGAAAAGCACATACCACTTCTTGCAGCTTCAATGGAGGTCCTGAGAGTGATCTCCATTGTGGGAAAAACTCCTCAGCCGAAACCAAGATTGGCTGCAGAAACTTGTTCAGGACAGCAGGAAGACGAAGTTTTACACTGACCTGGTCATGCCAAATATGTTAGCTTTACACATGAATAAAACAGCCTTTTACCTGTCCATGCTCTTTTTAATTCTTATATTCAATTCATTATTCTTGAGACATACGAGATGGGTGCCAAACTTGTACGAAAAGTCCAACACAGCCACGTCTCTACTAGGATGGAGGTTGATTACATCAAGTGGGCATTGAACCTGAAAAGTTCATACAGTGTGTATTTTCTCAATCATAAATTATTAAGTGCTTTAATAACTATTTTTATAATATTATAAAAAGAACAGAAGGAAAAAAAATGGAATCAGCGGTCCAACCTGCGCCCTCGGAGGAATAGTCTCAGGTACTAATGAGAGTTCCATCTTTAGATGCGCTGGGGGCAGTATAAGAGCTTGAACTGAAACAAGGGGAGCAGTATTTTTATTTCCCAAAAAGAGAACAACTCGTCCATGATGCGCTCGCCACTCGGCTTTTATGCCAATCTGAAATTGTATTTAGCCCAATTTGAATTGATTGGAATATTCATCTTAAGAATCATAGCAAGCTGCAGGGCAATATGTTGTAACATGATAAATGATATTTAGATGTTGGACCTGAATATAAGGATCCTCATATAGCACACCACTATCCTTAAGCCTTAGAGCATGAAATCTTTCCGCAATGTCACCAATTGGCTGCAATCATAAAACACAGATTAAGAAGCCAGAAGCATACACTATAGTGAGAAAAATAGTACAAGTGAAGTTTTCTACAGCAGCAACTCATCCCTAAAATATCACGATCAGATTTTACATAGTCAATGCCGTAGCAAGGACAACAAAGTACGGCGGATAAAGGGTTTATCTTCTTCTCTTGCCAAAAATAATAAATAAATAAATATAAAAAATAAATAAATAAATAAATAAATAACAAGTCTACTATTCATCGTTTGTTTTCTTTTCTATTTTTAATTATATACTTTTAGCACTATTGAAAGTGACGTGTTGGGCAAGAGGGATATTTTTTCTTCATTTTCCCTCATTGGCTGAATGGAAGAAGGGGTCGCTAGGGCCCAGTATGGACCCTACATTCTGAAGGTGCGATTGGATATGTCTTCATTTGAAAAGATTCACGAAAAAAAAAAAAATGGGAGAACTAATTACTTTTTAATTTAGATTGATGTGAGATGAAAAATAACTAAAGGTGATGTGACAGGGTAAGAGTCTGATTGCTAGTTACAAATATGAGTGTTATGAATAGTACATTTTAAATGAAAATGCATAGTAATGATTTTGTGTTTACTTTAAAAACATTACTAACAAAATTGAGGAGAAAAAGTGAGATCAGTGAATACAGTATTCTTTTCTTTAGGGGATGAAACCCTCTTTCCCTAGAATTCATTTACACCCTGAATATTTTCTTTTGCAATAGAATAGTGTCGGCAAACTTTTTTGACAGAAGTACGAAGGTCAGATTTGATAGAAGGAATTGTAACGGAATTCCATTTTCTCAAAGATTCATCCAAACAACGAACAAGCATCCAGAAAGCAGAGATAGACGAGTAGAAGACGAGTATGCACCTGGACAGCATTAGCCTGCTCCTCAACAGGTGCAATGGCTAATGCATCTTCATTGACACCAATTTCCATCCCAGAAGCTACCCTTGGCTCAGATTGAGGAGCCGTGTCTAGTGGACCTTCAATAGCCAGAGGACCTAAAAGATCACCAAGTAGATCAGGAGAAGGCGTGCTCGGAGGTTGAGGATCCACAACTGTCAAAGCCCCATTTGCATGTGTTAATCCCTGTTCAGTAGAGTTCTGATCCTGCCCATGTATTCAGCTTTTGGTTTACAATGGAAGAATGATAATGTGGAATTATAATATACTTGAGTTTTAGCTTAAATACTAAAAATATACAAATTTTTTTTAAGTACAAATCCAGCATCTCACCGCATTACTCGGGGTAGGCACCTTCACAAGACCAAGCTGGCTCACAGGGGCTGGCCCGTTTGCTGGCCGCTGATCTGTCACTACCAAAGCACTAGAACTCTGCTGCTGGGCCCGCAATTTAATTGCACTTTGCTCAGCAGTATCAGCTTCAGAATCCTCGGCCTTCTTTAACAATGAGGACTGGAACCAAAAATTAGGATCATTCAGTATCCATATAAATATTATGCGAACACAGTTAGAAACATAGAAAAAAAGAGCTTCAACCAAGTTCATGACTTTGAAGAACTGATTCCAAGTCAATACTGCAAACCTGTCTTTCAGGGAACTTCGGCATTTCAGCAAGTATATCCACTAGAGCAGGGCCTTTCATGCTCAAAGCATGATACTCAACAGCACGCTGCTGTATTTCGGCATCAATACAACTCTCATACCTGAAATGAAAAGTACAATTTGCCAAGTCATAACAATGATTTCTTTTTACTATATAGTATATACTAACAAAAGATTATCAAGATATTACTTGCTGAATATAGCCCAGATTTGCTTCTGTAACTCCTGGTCAGGTGGTTGAGTGTGCATCAAAATCTTCGCGTAGGTGGAGAGAAGTATTGGGATTGTTGGAGTCCTGGTCAAGGTTGATTCCATTAGATAAGAATTACAGAAATACTGGCAAATGGAAGACAGAAGAATATGCCCTTACGAAACAGAGGGAAGCTTTTCATGTATGATGTGGAAAATTTCCTTTGGGCTGCACCCAGGACGTCTGGCTAGAAGATGACTGTATTCTCCAAGAATATATGCACTCACCTATTTTATTATATAACATTTAACCATTCTTCAGCGAAGAAATTAATTCAACAAAGCATATGCAGACTTTTGATTCCAGCGCACCTAATTAATATGAGTTGTCCACAGTTTTCTAATAATATGAGTTGCCAATACTGTTCCCCAAACCACGGAGGGGAGGGGAGGGTAGGTGGAGGGGAAAAAAAAAAGAAAAGAAGGAAGAGAAAAAGAAAGGCTAAAGAAAATTAAAAGTATCTAAAGATAGATCACACAATCAAGGAGTCATATCACACACCTTCACCATGGTCTCATGAATAGCAGGTTTATCAAGATACTCTCTGGCTTTCAGAGCTGCATAAGGCTGAAAGGATACAAAAAATATTATCATAGAAACCTAAAAGTTAGTAACTGAGTTATAGGCATAACATATGTAACATGAATGGTTGTTTCACTTACCTGTAAATCCTCGTTGTTAGTAACAAACTGCACCACACGAAACCATATGTCATCACTAACAAAATCCCCAGCCTTGTCAATCAACTGAAGTATCACATCCACATACCTGCAACAGAAGAGGTACAAATAGATATGAAAATTTTAACCTGAAGCATGCTATGCTGTGAAGTGATACTGTCTCAAACTGAATCAATGTTCGTAGCCTGCACATTTTACAGGTATTGAGCACCAACAAAAGTTTCACATGTAAAGTTAGGGAAAATGATCAAATTCAACTTTTTGATCCAGCTCTCAGTTGGATGTGAATTCAAATGAACATTCTTTATGATTTAAAAACAACATATCCAAAAAAAAAAAAAAA